GGGAGCCCGATGCGGGACTCGATCCCAGGACCCTGGGATCATGACCCGAGCCGAAGGCAGACGCTTAACCGACTGAGCCACCCAGGCGTCCCCCATTTGTGTTTTTAAACCCAAAAAAAGGCCATGGAAACAGTGGCTGCCTTGGGTGGAGCACTGGGACTCTCAGGGTGGGAGGGAGGCTTTTATCATAGGGCCTTTTGTACTGTCTGATCATTTTACCATGACTCACTTTTTCAATTAACGTGTGTGGAACAAGGGAGCTGGGCTCTCCATTCTCCATCTGTCTCCTCTTTTGTTTCTAGCCAGACCTTCTGCCTATGCACCCCAGAATACCTCCAGGGTCACTTACTCCTTTTGGCCTGTCACAGCCTGTAGGATGCCACCCACCTTGCATGTGAGAAGAAATGTGTGGCTCCTTCCTTGTCTCGCCACCAGGGGACAGCCCACACCCGGACATGCCTTGGGTCGGCTGGGGAGCAGGGAGAGCAGGCAGGTCATTGAGAATCTGGGATCTGAGGGGAGCTCCAATGGCCCTTCCACCCAGGGCTCCTAGGGGCAGAAAGAGGTGCAGTCCTACCCAGGCCCCCAGTGAAGGACAGGACAAAGAGTGGGGTCTTGCAAATGCTGATGGACTTGTCTCCTATCTCTGTAACACCAAGCCACCCTCTCCCACACTTGTTCCAGTACCTCAAGGTGGGGCACTCCCTGGATGGGAGCACGGACTCACTCAGCAGAGGTCTGGGGTGCAGGGATTCCATAAGAAGGGGATCATATGGCCCTAGCGGCCTGATGGCAGCGCATCTCTTCTGCTCTTGGAAGAAGGGGATCAGGATACATGGCATGTCCCTTAAACACGGGAGCCGTGGATCTATCCTGCTCCCCGCCCATACCCCAGGGCTCCTGGGATTCCCACCCCCTCCACGGCTCAGTTCCTGCTCAGTCCATCTTTAGCTGCTGCGCTGGAGGTGGCCCAAGGCCACTAGATCCCTCAAGTTCCGCTTAGTCAATGACCTGCCAGCCCAGGTCTTTTCCGCTGGGCAAGGGAGGAATTTCTCCCTGTGGAAGCCCTAGGTCTCCCACGCCCTGCCCCATTTTATTGATACAGACCATAAAGTTTACTGATTTAAATATTCAATTCAGGGACGCCTGGGTAGCTCAGTTGGTTAAGTGTCTGCCTTCAGCTCAGGTCATGATCCCAGGGTCCTGGGATCGAGCCCCACATTGGGCTCCTTGCTCAGCAGGGAGCCTGCTTCTCCCTCTCCCTCTGTCTGCAGCTCCCCCTGCTTATGCCCTCTTTTTGTCAAATAAATAATCTTAAAAAAATAAATGTTCAATTCAGTGTTCAATGTTTTCTTTTTTTTTAAGCAAATTCAGAGCTGTGCAACTGTCACTATAATCTAATTTTACATTTTCATCATTCCCCAAAAGAAACCCGGTATCTATTAGCAGTCACTGCTGCCATTTTAATCCAGCCCCAGCCCCAGCCCCATCCAGCAGCCAGTCCTAGGCAACTGCCCATCTACTATCTGTCTCTACGGATCTGCCCATTCTAGACATTTCACATAAATGGAATCACACATTATGTGGTCTTTCATCTGGCTTCTTAGCATAATGCTTTTGAGGCTCATCCATGTTGTAGCATGTGTCAGTACTAGATTCCTCTTCACTGTAGACTAATACCTATCGTATGTATGGACGGGCCACTGCTTGCTCATCCAGTCACCAGCTAATGGACATCTGGGTTGTTTCCGTTTTGGGGCAATGACCAATACCACAATGCACACCTGTGTACAAGTTTGTATGCATTTTCCCCCCATTTTTCTTGGGTAGATATGTAGAAGTTGAATTGCTGACTCACGTTAATTCTATGTTCAACATTTTGAAGACCTGCCAGACTGCTTTCTGAAGGAGCTACATCATTTTCCATCCCCCTCCCCCTTGCAGTTCCAATTCCTCCACATCCTTGTCCACAGTTGTAACTGTCCCTTTATTACTGCCTTTCATGGTGGGTTTGATGTGGCAGATCCTCCTGTAGTTTTGATTTGTATTTCCCTAATGATGCTAAGCATCTTTTCATGGGCTTATTGCTCATTTGTGTTGTGTTTTTTCCCTAAAAATGCCTACTTAAATCCTTCCATTTTTTAAATTAAAAAAATATTTTTTTAACTTATTTTTTTATACATTTTTTTAAAAAGATTTTTATTTATTAGAGAGAGAGCGTACAAGCCAGGGGTAGGGGCAGAGGAATAAGCAGACTCCCCGCTGAGCAAGGAGCCTGACGCCGGGCTTGATCCCAGGACCCTGAGATCGTGACCTGAGCCGAAGGCAGCCACTTAACCGACTGAGGCACTCAGGCACCCCTTAAGATTTTATTTTAAAGTAATCTCTATACCCAACATGGGTCAAACTCATTGCCCCAAGATCAAAAGTCACACACTCTACTGAGCCAGGCACCCCTAATTTTACCTTTTAAATTAAGGTACTTATGTAATTATGACTGAATTGTAAAGTTCTTTATATATTCAAGATATATGTCCCATAATTATTAGATATGATTTGCAGTTTCTCCCAGTGTGAGGGTTGTTTGGATTCTGTCCTTTAAAGTACAAAGCCTTGTAAGACTAAGGCCCTTATCTTTGTTTTTAGATTTCATTTTAGAGAGAGAGCGAGCCTGTGCGTATGCGGCAGGGGGAGGGGCAGAGGAAGAGGAAGAGAGGGAGAAGCAGACTCTGTGTTGAGCACAGAGCCCAATGTGGGGCTTGATCTCATGACCCTGAGATCATGACCTGAGCCGAAATCAAGAGTTGGATGCTCAACTGACTGAGCCACCCAGGCGGCCCTAATCTTTTATTTATTTATTTTTTTAAGATTTATTTATTTAAGAGAGAGAAACAGGTGGGGGTGGGGGTGGGGTAGAGGGAGAGGGAGAGAAACTCAAGGAGGCTCTGCGCTGAGTGCTGTGCCTGAGATCAGGACCTGAACTGAAACCAACAGTCGGACGCTTAACCCACTGTGCCACCCAGGCGCCCCTCTTTCATCTTTTTATCGCTTTGCTTTTGGTGTTGTATCTAAAAATCATCACCTAACCCAAGCTCGCGAAGACATTCTTCTATAATTTCCCCTAGGAATTTTAGTTTTTAGCTTTTACATTTAGGTCTACGACCCATTTTGAGTTAATTTTTATAATACAGTGTGGGGGCTGCAGTCCAAATTTGTTCTTTCGCACGTGGATACCCAGTTGTATAAATACTACTTGTTGAAGACTGTTCTTTCCATGCTGGATTGTCTTGGCCCCTTTGTGGAAGCTCAATCTTCCACAAAGTAAATCTATTTACTTCTGGACTCTCAACTCTATTCCACTGAGTCCAAATATCTATTCCTTATTAAGTCTCCCTTTTGAGTCAGTAACAGAGCAGAGGTTAAAGAGCTCCTCCACCTTAAGTCCCATCCTGGACTGCTCACGCGTGGAGCCAGGTGGGGGTGCCGCACTCAAGGGCCTGTTCCAGGGCAGGTGGCCTGTCGGGGAGGAGAGGGCTGAAGGATAAGGAACATGAAACGGGGGGGTTCCTGCCCCCCTCACCCCTCCTGGAGCAGCAGCTGTCAGCCCGCCGCTCCCATTCCTGCGCAGCCCCTGTCCTGGAGGCCCCAGGAGGAATGGGGAGGGAGGGCATGGAGGAAGAATGTGGGTGCCTTACATGGCAGTCAGGAGGGAGACGGCACCCTCCCTGCCCGCCCTGCCTGCTGGCTCCTCGGCCACCTGCCTACCTCAGCACCTCACATTCTCCCGCTGCCCTGTGGAACCCCACGCAGAGCCTCTATTTACACCAAGGCCGAGGGCATCAGGGCTCAAAATATCCAGGCTCCTGAGTCCTGGAAAGCACACTTGGAGAAGAGGGAGAGGCGGATGGGCAGATGCCCAGGCCCCCTCGTGCCCTGCCATCTCGGTGGGTAGGGCGGGAAAGGAAGAGGAGGAGGGGTCCCCAGGTCCCCTCCGCACCGGAGGCAGTATCTGAGAAGCTGCTGGGCTCGAGGGAGGGGAAGGCGCCCAGGAAACTTGAGAGGTGAGAATTTCACACACTGCCGGCTGCAGCTGTGGCCTGATCACAGGAAAGCAGACGTGCTGGAGGAGGGGCAGGGGCTGTGGGCACAAGGACAGGCAGCCTCCCTGGTAGGGTCAAGCACACTTTATTCAGCACAGGAATGTGTGAACACAAGGGCCTTGGGCAGGGTTCCTGACAAAGACCTCTGCTTCAAACCCTGCTGTACCCAGAGCAAAGTCATCATGTAAACCACCGGGCCCAGAGGGGAGGGGGCTCAGCACAGGGTCACACTGGCCAGCACACGGGGAAGCTGGGGTGGGTGGCCCATGGCCAGGAGAGTCGTGAGCAGCTCTAAGTAACTCACTCAGAAAAGCCAGGGTGGGAGGAGGGCAGGGGCCTGGCCCATTCAGGGAATTATCTCCACCACTGGGGGCCCCAGGGTTCAATTTAGCTGAAGCAGCCAGGGCTGCTGTGTCAACACATGATTCAAAGGCTAAAAGCCATAGCCCTGGGGGTGACAGGAGAGGTGGCCCGTGGGGGTGGGGGTGGGGGTGCAGCTCTCACAACCAGCACACTGCAGCCCTGGCCATTGCCTCCAATCTGCAAAATGTAAATGGCACCAGCCTTCGCTGCCCAGGACCCCACTCCCTTGACTGGGGTCCCCAGTGGAAGTGGGGAGGGGCACGGGAGGGCAGAGAAGGCAGGTCTGCAGGCAGAACCACCCTGGATGACTACGGTCCTGCCCTCAAGACTCATGATTGGGGGTAGGGGAAGGTCTTGGGGTCTGCACCAGGCAAGAGCAACGGTTTGAACCCTCTGCCCAGAGAGCGTGCTTGTGGCGGGGCCCACAGCTTGGCCTGAGAAGCCTCCAACCAGAGGAGGCAGCCCAGGACCTCTCTGCTCGGGTCACTCCCGGCTGTGCTGTTATGCTGGGTACACACAGGGGCAGGGGGAAGGAGGGGATTCTGGGAGGGAGGAGGAGAGGGCGTGGTTAGGGAGGTGGTGCTGGGCACCCTGGGACCCTTGGGAGTGACAGGGAGAAGCGGCGCACGACGGCACAGCTGGGCCCAGCTGAATTCCTGATTAACAACTGTTCTGAAGACCAGAGGGGATGGGCAGAGGACAGACATGCCACCTTCCTGGAACTACCCCTGCTAACCCAAGAATGGGGCATGTTAAAGAGCACCCCTGCCCCCAACCAGTAACTAGAGTGGCAGGAAAAGGGGGCTCAAAGTCTGGGGTGTGGATGGTGACAGCACTCCTTCCGTGGGCTTTGGGCTCAAATGTAAAATGCACAAACTTTTTCATCACCAGGGGACAGAGAAGGGGCTGTCTCTGGCTGGACGGAGGCTGGGAGGGCAAGGCCGGTGCCTAGTGGGTGTAAGTGACAGCCAGAGCCCGGCTTCTCTCTACACTACACATGAAGGTGGCTGTGGCAGGGGACTCAGGGAGGGACGGATCTATCTAAATGACTCACAGGCAGCTGGGGGAGGGGTGGCTGGGATGACACAAACGCCCCGATATCCAGGGAACACAATCAACAGGCAAGAGGAGCACAGGTAACCACTGTGCAGGGAGTGGGGAGGGCAGCCTGCCGGCACACAGCCCCAGGATGGGCTCACTCGTCAAACTTCCCTTCCCGAATGTGTTCGAAGGAGAAGGGTAGGAACTTGAAACCGGTTCCGCTGTAGAATTTATTCTGGAACTCCACCCTGGGGAAAGGGAAAAGGAGTGTCATCATTCCACAGAATCCTTTTGGGATTTCACAGTGGGCTAGAAAGATGCTCTGACTCTCCTCCCCAAGGCCTCGCTTTCCTAGCTGAGCTCGGGAAAGCAGCTTGGCCTTCTGCCACCCACCCACCCACCCAGACCAGAGCTTGGCCTAGTTCCCACAGCGCACACAAGCCCTGCTTCTGAAGGCAAGAGTGCCGCATAGCTCCTCCCTGGTTTGTCCTCAGTTCCTGCTCCTTCCTGCTGAGCACAGTGTGTTTATGCAAAACTCTTTGTCTAGCCATGTGCAAAAGAAGTGCCCTTGGTTTGAGTCTCTAAGGGCAATGTAGAGACTATCCACTGGACTCCCGCCGGGGCTCAGGGGCTTGAGGCCGAACTCTCAGGGAAGCCCCTGGGCAGCAGCGAGCTCAGCGCCAGGGACTCTGGCAAGTGCCCTTGTTTTCTAGTTTGTTTCTTTTCCTTGCAGGAGGAAGGAGAAGGGAGGGTTTTGAGTAAACACTGGAGGCTTTGGGGAGGAAATTCCCAGGAAAGGGGCATGGGGGGAGGGGGAGTCTTCTCCAAGTAACGGCAAAAATATTCTCCAACTACAAAAACATCTGAGAACGAATTCTTCTCTCGGGCTGAAAGGAAAAGCAGAGCTTCACCTCCCTTCCCAGGCAGCCCAGCATCCACCGCTGACGGTCTCCCTGGGGCCCTTTCCAACTCTGAGGGGCAGGAAGACAGCACTCCTGGAAGCAGAGCTGGGCTGCAGGCTACACTTCCCCCTGCATACTCCCTGGATGGCTGCCCAGCAACCAAACCACCACCAAATATGGGCAGAAAAATGCATGATTCAGAGGATAAAAAAGCCAAGGAGAGCTGCCCTGAGGAATGGTTTCCACTCAGCGCTGAGTGACCCTGGGGACGCCAGAAGGACAGAAGGACAGGCGGGGCTCGGAGCTGGGGCCCGCTGCAGGCAATGGTGCTCATGCAGGGCATGGTGGAAGGACTGTCTGCTTCGGGGGTCAGTCTGTGGTGACCCTCAGAGGTCCTCAGAGGCCCCGTCAGCCCTGGGGTGCTGGCTGACGACACCGCAGAGCTGCCGGCTCCACTCCCTGAGGAGAAGAGGTGAACAGAATTTTCTGCGTGGGCGTAAGAACAGGCGGCCTTCTCCTCCCAGCCCCACATTCCAGGGGCTGGGCCAAGGTCCCAAAGCCTCCCAGACTCTGGAGGGGTCCCTGGGCCAAGGGAAAATAGGACCTGGGGGAAGGGGCTTCAAACTGAAGTCAGTCACAGGATTCCTGGCAAAAGCAATTTCAACCCGGGATCTGGACTCATCCACATATCCCAACCCCGAGAAGTCCTAGAAGCTACAGCTATTCAGGCCTCCGTTGGGGGAATTAGGTGGGGATGGGGTAGGTTCCTGCCTCTCACCCACTGCTGTCTGGTCCTTCACGTTGAGTAGACTGTTTGCATATGGCAAGCGCATTTCTGAACAACTGGAAAGAGACTGACACATCCCGTTTGCATTCAACAACATTTATCGAGATGGTGGGCAGGTCATCTTAGGGTCTACTCGGGGTCCAGAACTCTGAGCCCCTGGCTGGCTAATCACACAAACAATTCGAATTCCAAACTGGATGAACGGACTAGAAGCTTCAGAAGTTTTCAGATGCCCGTGGGATCACCATCCTTCTCTTGGCATTCCTCTGCGTGCCTCATCTACCCAGGGGGCCCAGCGGGAAGGAAGGGCTACACGTGTCTGGGATGCAGGTGCATAAATTCTGCCAAGTGAGCCCATGGGCGGTCCCTCTGACACATGGCCTGATACCACCTCTACCACCAGCCACTGCCTGTGGTTAGACTTAGGGTGGCCACCACCACGGACACCTCAGGCGTCTCATGGTCAGCCTGACTTCACGCCCCTTCTCGGCCTCACTTACCCCAACCTCCCGGAACAAAGCTGGAAAGCAATCTCCCTATCGGACTGCCCAACCACCCCTCCCTCCCAAGCAGGGAAATGTGTACTTCCTGAGAAAGTACAAACATGAAGTTCTTTGCGCCAGGGCCCTGCTGGGTCCTCTTATTTTAGGAGCCTGCTACACCACCCAGGGAGCCTCCGGGGCTCCGCCGTGCCCCAAGCCACCTCTAGAATTCTACGGTTGTGAGGAGGGTGTCAGGAAATCGGATGGGTTTCTCGGACACCCCTTCCCTTCCAGCTGCGGTACTGGCAAAGGCCACCCAGTGACCCCGAAGGATAAGTGGGAGTCCCCGGAGCACTCACCACTGCTACCTGATAGGAAACCTTATTTCCTTGAGTGAGGGAAGGGTCTCCTCCCTTTCCTAGCGGGGGTGTGAGTGAGAAGAGGCAGTTTTAGGAAGATGATCCTAGACCGAGCTGCTTCTCTGGCCCTTTCTGCCGCTCTCTGAGCAGTCCAGGGCCTGGAACACACATCTGTCTAATGGCCCACATGTCAGGGCAATGATGGCAGCCAGGAACTACACTTGAGGCGTGCTTTCTTCCGGGCCAGCCGTTCCCGCACCCGTCCTGTGGTAACCTGCTGCGGCGCCACTCCATTCCTTATGACAATATGGTCCCCCCTTCCTTTGGCCCTCAACCAAAGGAGTTGGAGTTTGTGAGTGTGCAAGTGTGCACATCGACACGTATGTGGAATCTGCTAAGAAGGGATTTAGTTCCTGAAAGTGGGTCAGGGGGCAACAGTCTTTCTACTAAAGTCAGTTTGGTGTCCACAAACTGACAAATCCTATCCCTGCCTTGCCTTTCCTGAGGAAGAAAAGACAGCTAATTACAGTAGGCAAAAATAGATAGACACATAACTCAGAAGGAGATGAAATCAGCAAGTTGGGACAGTAACCTGTTCACTCTTGTTTTCAAATATATCACCCACCTCCTTTAGGACCCCACATGAATCTCAGACTAGTGGTTTATGTTTGTTACCAAAGCAGACATTGTGGTTCTTGTCCCCACTGAAGACATCCAGAACTTTTATAATGGGGCAGCCCTTGCATCAGGATCAGGAAACCCCAGCTGACAGCCAGGGGTAAAGTGACAGGTATGAGGACGCCCAGGCTGGACCCCAGGAAAAATAGCAGCAATGTCCCGCAGCCATTTTCGGCAGGACCAGCTGTCCCCAGCCTCATAAGAGGGCCATAACTCAGAATTCCTGCAGACCTGGGGGACAAGAAGGCCCAGGAATCCCTGCAGTGCATCCATATTCGGCCAGGAGGGGGAGCACGAGCACCCGTTTCATTCACCCCCTTTCAGTAAGGGCGATGCTCCAAACGTGCCTCCAACAATGGATTCTGAAAGCCGAACAGTTTAGTGTTTCTCTTCTCCGTGATACCTCTACTACCCAAACCAACCAACCCACAAGTTTGTCTGACGAGCCCATTCCTTGAAAATTACAGGCATTCAGATGCGCTTCCTCCAGGGGGTCTCCCCTCTCTAAACACTAAAAGCAGTTTCTTTACAAGGGACCATGGCCAAGATGCCCTCTCCACAGGGCAGCCCACTTCTAAGCAGGGTGGCTGCGATGTGCACTTGAACACAGTTTATGATGAGCCGGGGCACTGTGACAGGCACCTGGTATGCACATTATTTCCTATTTATCACCACAACCATGTTACGTGGATACCATCCTCTCTTCACCTGAGAGAAAGTAAGGTTCAGTGAGGTAAGTGCTCTCCTCTGGGGGTCACCCAGCCAGTGACAGCAGAGATGGAATTTGAACCCAGGTGGGCCTAATTCTGAAGCCTGTTCTCTTGTCGCTCATCAGGTCCTTGGGCTCATTCACGGGGCCGTGGGAAGACACCTTCATTTGAAGGCCACAGGTTAAGCCTGAGGGAGACATAATCCTTCTGGCCACAACAAAACATGGCCTCCCAGGCTGCCTCTGCTCACTCTGGAGATTAGGCCCAGGCTCCAGCGACCTTCCTCACCCTGTGGTAAGCCTGGCTCACTGCTCTGACAGTTCTGACCCAGCACCGTGACTGCTCCCCAGCCCGCCCAGGGAGGAGGCTACAGGCTCCCCACTTGGGTTGGGATTCAGGTGGGGTAGTAACTGGTCCCTCGAGCACAGGGCTCAGGAAGACAGAGAAGTGACTAGGGAAGGAAGGAAGAAACAGTGAGTCACCAGAGGCTGGTCACACAGACATTGCCTCATACCAAGTGGCTGAGGAAGTGTGCTGGGGAGAGAGTATGCTGATAAGCTGAGAACAGGGTAGTGTGCCAGCAGTCTGAGCCACACAGCGCTCCTAACCTCCTGGCTGGACAGTAGATAAACAACAGCTGGGTGGGGAGGAGGGCAGCAAGGAGGAGGAAGCCAGCCAGAGGACGGGTTATTTTAAAGGAGCTTTTGAGGGAAGAATAAGTCCCAGTTGCGCCCCGCCCTTCCGTGCCTCACATTCCCCTCTGTCCATAACAGAGGAATCTTTGAGGGGGCTCAGCATAACCAAGTCAGGAGGAAAACCAAAGATAAGGGGAATGCGGCAGAGGATCCTTGGGTTCAGGTTTAGAAAACGGATGTAACGAGACATTCTACACACTCTCTGATCTTGAGATCATTAGCACCACAGACCATCTCGTCTAGGAGTTCCTAAGGTAGGGTCAGTGAGTTTGTGGCCGCCCTAAATGGGTAAAACTATTGGGGGGGATGTTTCTCTAGGGAGAGGGCCCAGAGCCTCCAGGGCCACTGGGGTTTGAGACCCAAAAAGAGAGGGAGAATCACAACATAAAGGAGGAAGCAGAGACTCAAAAGAGGGAGGGCTTGAGGTAGAGAAGCCAGATAAAGTACAGGATGCCTAGTTTTTAGTATGAGTATGTCCCATGTACATTTGGGAAATACTTGTACTAAAAAAAAAATTCACTGTTTATCTGAAATTCAAATTTTACTGGATGTCCTGTAATTTTATTTGCTAAATCTGGCAATCCTACCTTGAGGTCATAGGGTCACTGCCTGGACCAGACCCCACCTCTCCCACCCCCTGGGACTGAGCTAGCTCTCTCCAGGCAGAGCCATTAAAAGCCACAAACTACTTTAAGGAAAACAAACAAATCCAAACCTGCCCTTCTGAAGAAGCTGCTTCAGGGCACTGAGCTACACACTATGGAACCAGGAACACCCCCTACCCACATGGAGTTGCCAGGGCTCCTACCCAAAGACACGGGCACAATGACAGAACAAGGGGGACAAAACTGGGGTACAGTGTGCTCTAGCATCTTTCTGGACTGCAAATCTATTCCAGAGTTGCTTCCATCGCTCTGAAGACAGGAGAAAGTTTATGCCAGAGCTAAAAAACCCCAAACAAACCAACAACCTCAGCAGGTCCATAATCAAGAGCAGTGAAGAAGGCTAAAGGCAGGGAGAGAGAATCTGACAACACCCACCAGAGAATTCTCCCTTGGGGGCTCTAAAGAGTGAGCTGTGCTTTTGTGGAGGTTTCCTGATGCTCACTCCTAATGTAGGTCCTTGGGCATAATGATGTGAATGAAAGCAGACACTTCCTAGTGTCTCCGGATTCTGTACAAGAGCAAAGCTGCCCTCCGAGCAGCTAAGGACACATCCCCAGCCCCCCGAACTCGCTGCCGCTCACCAGTGTAACCGCAGCGCATGGAGGAAGGCCGAGAGGCCCTCCATGATCAGGAGGATGGCCACGGTCAGGGTGGCAAAGGCGGCGAAAATGAAGAACAGCGCCAAACCTCCTGCCAAGCTCTTCACGCTGAGGCCGATGTGGATCACCATGGTCCAAAGCACCTCAGACAGCTCTGGGGAATGCAGAGACGGGACATCGGGTTCAGTTTGGCAAGAGGTGTTGTGGGCCTTCCAGTTTGCTCTGCTGTCCCTCACCTGAACTGTCTGCTGCACCCTGGCTTCCTGCAGCCTTAGGGGGACTACCATGCATAGCTAACCTGGCAAAGGCGCTGGTCCTCCCATTTGGACGTTGTTGTCCCAGGATTCAGGAGTCTGAATAATTCCAGAACCCTTATGTTATTTCCACTCTACTTAAGCCCTACATCTGAGAGAGTGCCCAGAGAAGGGGAAAACCATAATTTTCGACCTGAGAGAAATACACTCACGTGCATGAGCGAGGCTGAGGGCCCAGAGCCGCAGGTAGGAGGCGGTGTTAGAGATGCAGCCCAGGCAGTACTCGATGGTGTGGATGGCCTGGTGGACCATGGTGTCCCCAAAGTCAAACTGTCATGGGAGGAAACCAGACAGAAGATATAAGGCTGGGAGGGGATGTGTAGATGGTGCTGTGGCCACTTGGTGCTTTGGGCCTGGGTGTGAGCGCCAGCACTAACGGCTACACAGGCCAGGAACCCCCAACGCTGAACTCAGGTGGTGATTTCAGCTATGCTATCCCCAGAAATCTTGCCTGGCTTAGCCCCCAACTGGGACACCCCATTTCCCTTAATTCTCTACATTTTAATGACCTCCATCTTAATGAGATGATTCTCAACCCGTTTGTTTTTTCTTCCCGCTAGGCTGTAAGCTCAAGAGTGGAATGTATGCCGAGTTAAGAGCACTCAGAGAAATGGACTGTCTGGACGCGGGACTCCTAGGGCCCTGCTGCTGGGCCTCCTCCAGCTGACTTCCTCCTTACGGTGCCCGAGGGAAGCGCCCTGCTCTGAGTCAGGAGAGCAGAAGGGCTTTCCCCGGCCATGCTTCAGGTGACAGGCTATCGGGCCAGAAGCTGCCGAGGCAACACTAAGCCTCTACAGCCACTCCACTTATTATTCTTACAACCTGCTGGGAGCAAGATAACTCTTTTTTTTTTTTTTTTGGTGGCTTCTGAGAAGATGACACAGGGAAATTCTGACAAAAGTTTTCCAAAATCCTCCAGTTGACTGAGACCACACTGAACATCTATTGTTTTTTTGTTTCTGTTTTTCTTACGCTCCCTTTCTCCCAGCTTTCCTTCCCACATCAAAAACCGTTTCCAGGGGCGCCTGGGTGGCTCAGTCGTTAAGCGTCTGCCTTCGGCTCAGGTCATGATCCCGGGGTCCTGGGATCGAGCCCCGCATCGGGCTCCTTGCTCGGCGGGAAGCCTGCTTCTCCCTCTCCCACTCCCCCTGCTTGTGTTCCCTCTCTCGCTGTGTCTCTGTCAAATAAATAAATAAAATCTTTTAAAAAAACAAACAACAAAACTGTTTCCAGAATAAGGGGGTAGAGTTAGAACAAGCTTGCCGGAGTTCACATGCAGCCCGCTCCAAGCCGGGCTGGGAAGAATTACTGGCATCTCTACAGCGTGCCAGACACACTTCCAGGCCTTCCCCCACCCTGCCAGGTGGAGCATTCAGCTGCCAAAGAACAGGAGGCGGGCCCTTCCTGGGCTCCTCCCACACAGCCCGCCCAGAACCCCAGAAGCACAGGGCCTCCCCGCCTGCCCTGCCTTCAGGTCAGAGTCTGTTTTTCACCAGTTTCTTTCAAGACTCACATGACCACTCCCAAAGGACACCAGAAGTGTTTTTGGAAATTGCATGAGGGCAGGACGAGAGAAGGACCTGGCTGGTAAAGTGCTAACAGCCCAGGCCTCAGGGGTGCGGCCAGGAGGGAGAGAGACCGGCTCCAACACGCCATCTTTGGGCGACTGCCTCAGTTTCCCTCACCTGACCATCTACACTCTGAGTATTTCTGGGCTTTTCTTCTGCAACAGGCTCTTCAAGCCTCCTAGTTACCCTAAAAACTCGTTACCCCAATCCCAACAACGCTGCTAAGAGCTCTTTCCCACCAGTGCTGGCTGTTGCCCCAGGGCCCATGCTCAGAGGAAGGAAAGGTCCCTGCTCCCAGGAGCACTGGTCTCTGCTCCTAAGAGCTCCGCGAAAGCAGGGACTGCTGGGTTTCCTGTAGAACCAGGCCCCTTTCAGCAGTTTTATTCTACCCAGAGTTCTTCCCAGAAGAATGGAGAACACACACGGAGGAAGCCTCCCTTCTGGGTATTACCCACACTCTCTGCACTTTCTCTTCTTCCCAACTTCCTGCTTTGTAACCTTGGGCAAGTTTTCATCTCTATATAATGGGGGAAGACTGTGGTGGGTGAGGAGTTAGGGTGAAATGCAGTCAAGCACTCAGGAGCCTATATCACTGCCTCCGGAGTCAGCTGTGACTGAGGAGGGCAGCTGCAGACTCCCGGTCTACACACTCCTCCAGGTGCGCGGCCCATCCCCTCCTCACCTCCCGGGCCCTGCCCTCCACCCTCTCTGCCCCACAAACCCGACCTTCCCGGCACCCGCTCCCTTGCCTCCCGGATGTGAGGTCTAACACATTCTGTGTCCTGACTGAGCCCCTGCAGTGTCTCCCACTGTCACCTTTTCCTCCTCCCTCTGTAGACATTCGCCTGCCCTCGGTTTTCCTCCTACCTCCCTGGATGCTCCTTCCCAGTCTCCATCTTGGTTCTTCCTTAAATGCTGGAGGTCCAGCCTCAGCTCTTACACCTCTCCTGCAGCGCGGCTGCTCAGGGCTTAGAGGGCCACCCGTAGGAGTGACTCCCAGATGGACACCTTCATTTCCTTGTTGACTGTTTCCAACTAGCCGTGCTACATCTCCTCCTAGTGTACCACAGGCGCTTCAAACTCAGTGCCACCCAAACTCATTAATCACTCTCCTCTGACCCCACCGGGACCTACTTCTACTCCATGTCCCATGTCTAACAGCGTCATCACTAGGGCCCCAGGCACCCAGGCCTGGAAGTCAATCTTGAATCCTCACTCTCACTGCCTACATTCATTAAGGCCCTGGGACCTGTAGCTCTAACTTCCTTGATCTCATTATCCGTCCCTTCCTTTCCAACTCCCCTGCAAATGCCTCACTTCACTACAAGCCTCCCAATTCTTTCATGACTCATATCAGACTAGCTGGTCTCCATGCCTCCAGACTGTGACCTCTCCCCAATCCAATATCCCCTAGAACACCCCCACTAGAGCATTTCAGCAATGTCCTCTGACTGGCTCCTTGCTATCCAAACACTCTACCGCTGCGTACTTGTTTATCCCCAACACGTGATGGGCCCACACGCCTGTCTTTCCGATAACTATACACACTGATGGGTCTGCATTCCCACCCAGTCCCCACAGAGACTCCTGCTTGACTGGACTAAGTTAGCAACAATCTCCTCAGGGAATCACTTCCTGGTCTCCTCTTCTCCACCCCACCCCAGTGCTCGTCAGGTGCCCTCTTTCTGTGTTCCCACAGCATCCTGGGCACACCTTAATCACACCATCTGTCACCCAGACTGTTTCCTCAATTTGGCTGGGAGTTCCTTGGAGGCAAGGGCTATGTTTCTCTTCCTGCAGTTTCTGTAGCACCAGAGTGCTTGGCACATAGAGGGTGAATGAATGAATGAATGGGTGGGATAAAAGAATTAACGGATGGGAGGGTGGGTGGGATGAATGAACAGATGGATGGGTGGGTGGGATGGACAGATGGACAGATGGGTGAGCGGGATGACTGAATGGAGGATGGGTGGGTGGGATGAATGAACAGATGGATGGGTGGGTGGGATGGACAGATGGACAGATGGGTGAGCGGGATGACTGAATGGAGGATGGGTGGGTGGGATGAATGAAAACATGGACGGATAGAATGAGTACACGGATGGACAGGTGGGAAGACTACACCTGATGAGATGACACAGTAGGGAGAGGTGCCACTGACCCTTGCTGAATGGTTACAGCCTTTAAAGATTTCCCAGACGATCAACTGGCCTGGCTCTGGTTTGCAACTGGACTTAGCGCTCCGCAGGGAGAAGGACTACTGCTTCCACCAGGCTGGAATAATGGCCTACATGGGGCATATAGGTTTTCACAGCCAAGCAAAAAGGGGAAGTTCTCGAAGAAGTAGGCTGGACTTAAAAAAAAAAGTTTTGTTTGAAATCTTTAAATAATTCTAACAGTTAATCTAAATCTGGCTATGGAGAACTAGACTGTACATGTGCCTGATAAAGATAAAATGTCATTATTATTTAGGAAGCCACGGGAAGCTGAACCCTTGAGGGAGCGGAGGGGCAGAGACTAGGGAGGCTGAATTACAGTCCGTCTTGTGTGGTTGTCCAAAGACCCTGGGACTTGGCTTACAAATGAGGACCATTCTGACAATGACCATGGCACTGGGTGCTCAACTAGGAAGACACTTGGCAAGAACAGTGTTGTTAGGGGCTGTGTTACTGGGAGAGGGCCGGGCTCCTCACTAACAGGGAACACCCTCCCAGCCAGCCCTTCCAGGCAGCTCAACCAGTGACTATGATGAGCAGCTCACAGGAACACAGAGGCTCCTGGATGCCAGCAAAAGAGCCTCTCCAGCCTTCAGGAAGACGGAGCACGGTCTGTTTTTACACAGAACAGCACAGGTTTTCCTGTTCCCATCCCACTGCCCCTTTAGAGAGGACCAGGAGAGCCAGGAAAGGGAAGGGTTCATGGGTCTAGGTATTTTAGAGAAAAGTTTTGGGGAAAGATGCAAACAGTGCAGCAAGGCCTTTAAAAAACCCAATTTAAAATTCGTGTATTGCTAAATGAATTACTGCTGAGCTAGAAGGCCTCCTACTCCAAATGTGCCCTGAATAGCCAACTTTGTTTCTATTATCTGGTATAATATGAACTCCTGTCACACAGATGGGATTTTCTCTGGGATACATCGGAGAGGCAAAGCCTCCTTTTTGAAAGCTGTCTCCCTCCCACCTGGGTCACAGGGAGGTAGATCTGACCCCAAGTGAGGGCCCAGCAATTCTCATTTCAAGTATCATCAAGCTGATGAGGACAGTAGAAAGAGGCTGGCTGCATCTCAGACAGGGAGGAAGGGTGAGCTTTACTCACAAGCTCTCCGAGGAGCAAGGAGGAAACAGCTACTCCCAGCGGCAGAGCTACCATACCTGACATAACACCACAGGAGGGGAAAGCAAAGACCACTGGGATTTAACCCCCAAGGGGGTCACCTCAAGAATGCCAAAGCAGACATTACTTGTAGCTCCTTTCAAGCCATTCTCAGAGGTATTAGATCAGCAAAGTCAATGAAACAAAGACAGAGGTGACCGACATGAGATGCAGTTAATGGAGATGAGCTTTTTCAGAACACAGGTTCACGAACTGGTTAGAAATGGCCAGTGAGATGCGGGATGCACGGGTGGCATGTGTGGGCCCCCGGCTGCAGCAGGGTCGGCAGACGGATCACAAGGATGGCAAAGAGAAGCCCCAGATAAACATGAAGGCAAAGCCAGCTTGTTTCTTACCACTTCATCCTCGGTAGGCTTGTAAACACAAATTTACACTTAGTGGGAAGCCATGCCACACAGTCACAAGTCACAAGCACAAGGTTATTGACTGTTTCTCGGGAAAACTGTTAATGTTAAATGGGCCTCATGTGTTGGAGGCAGGCCTCCTCAGCATACACAGAAAGCAAACCCAGTGGGATTCAGAGCATTAAGATACATATTTTTTAAAGGCACCCCAACACTTATAATTTCTTTTTTAAAATGTCATACACATAGGGGACGTGGTCAGTCAGACTGAGAAGTTCAGTCACCTGGGTCCCCCAACTCCCATTCTATTTGCTTCAAAAAGAATATAACAACAACAACAACAACAAAAGAATATAATGAATAGATGACATTCAAAAGTTCAGTTCAGAGGTTTGTGGTGTGAGTGGTTAGGCAAGGGGACTGGATTTTAAAAATCAGCTTGGAGGTGGTGGTTTAAGGAAAAGTCTAATTTGGCCTTACTACTTTTCACTCTCCCTGTAAAAAGTAGGCAAATAACATTTTTAAAAAGCTCAAATAATGTATCTGCAACAGGAGCACATTAGTGGGACAAGACTTTAAAAAGTACCCGCGGTTACAGTTCCAACTGGAACCATTCCTGGAAGGGGCAAGGGATGAAGAAGCTGCCCTGAGGGGGCTGTGTTTCTGGTAACAAGAGCGGGGAAGCCTGGGCCCACTCTGCCCTTGATCCCCAGGAGGACAGTCAGTCACTGAGATTGGCATGCAGAGTACTGTGGGCAACTCAGAATTCCACGAGTTGGGACAAGGGAACACAAGTGCCACGGGCACCCAGGGGGAACCTGGAGTTCACAGCAGGCCCGCTGGAAAAAGCTGTGCTGCCCGAAGAGGCCCAGAAGGCAGGCTGATCACTAGTATTAGCATTTTCATTTTTCAAGAAGACTGGAGGGAGGCCATTACTGCACACAAGACGAGGGCTGCCCCACAAGAGAAGGAGAGGAAGCCCATGCCACTGGATCTTACCTCTTCCGCGTCCTCTGAATGGGTGGAGAGCTGGTCATGCTGAATAATCTCAGCATCCTCCTCTGTCGGTCCGTTGCCCACCCTGATCCCACCAAAGTTGAGAGTTCCCTACACAGATGAACAGAAAGAGTAGAATTTGCCTGGGCTTTAATGTGACATTCTGTGAGGTGGGGAAGGGCGATGGTTAGTGCATACAAACCTCAGAAAAGCATGTATTCTAACAACAAAATCAAAACCCGCTGATCCAACAGCTAAGTAAACACAAACCACTGTCCCCGCCCCAACCACCACCGGCCCAGCCCCAGCCCCTGCATTTACTACCTCAATCTGATCAGTTCTGCCTGCCACACCAGGACGCACTGACCTGGCCTCAGTCAAGGCTAATTGAGATGCCTGCTTGGACAAAAAGCTTCATATGAACAGACTCTTACAATGACTATAACTCTATCTGTAAAGCTGTCAGTGCTCTAAGTTTTTCTAGAAGTCAAGATCAGACTTTCTAAGAGGGAGGGGAGCCAAATGACAATGGTGACTATAACCTGGTCGGATACACTTTCAACTGGAACCCAAGAGTTCCAGCAACCTCTCTCAGAAGCGGACCGGGTCTCTGCCCAGGAACAAAGGACTTCCTAGATCAGGGAAGGGAAAAAAAGCTTAATGTGCATCAGCCTATGGCTAGAGAATACGGAGTTTAAAAAAAAAAAAAAAAGAAAGAAAAAGAAAAAGGCTCCTTTCCTTCAGTGGAGGACTCTGGAGTGTTAAAACAACTCTTTTACAGGCCTGTGGGCAGATGGTGATTGGGTGCTTGCTTCTTCCCATTTCCCAGGCATTGTGTTCAATGGGTTCCCCAGAACCAGAATTTCTAAGTCAACCTGACTTGGAAAAGCTTGGCTTAATTGAGGCAAAAGGACTCTTTGAGTGCAAAAACCAGGCAGAACTGGGGTGAAGTCAGACAAATAGCAATGAGTGCTAATCTGCCAGAGGGAAAAGGAGCTAAGAAACAGCCCCTAGGTCCACTTCTTGTGGTTTCTGATCAGGAAGCCCAAAGGAAGCAAGAGTTTAAAAACTGCTCTCCTGCAAAACGGCCTTCTGGGCAGCAGTACGCGATGTGCCAACAGGTTTGGTCAACTGCCCTGGGGTCCCCACTCACAGCTTCACCTTTTGGTGTGCACCTTCTACCACAGCTTATGGACTACCAGAACTCAGTGTCCGGGCAAAGTCTCTCTCTCCTTGTAGCAGGGGTTCTCCCGTGCTGGTCAGAGAACCAGCTGCATCAGAATCACCTTGAAATTAAATAGAGATTCTCAAATGCTACCTCCAGAAATTATACATTTAGTAGGTCTGGAGTGGGGCTTAGGAAATCTATGTTTAAAAAAAATATTTCCCCAAGTACAAACTATATAATCATTTTTACTGTCTATCAAAATTGAAAATGTAAGCACACACAAAAAAATGCAAGTACCCTTTGAGACTTAGCAGTCCCACTGCTGGGAACATCTATGTTTATGAAATTTTATCAAGGTACACAGACTATGATATTCCCTGCATTCATATCTGTAAAAGCAAAGAATTGGGAACAACCAACACATCCATCAACAAGAGAGTGATTACACAATTTTAGCATATCCAACAGAATGTTCTATGGAATACTAGACAACTATAAAAGAGTGAAACAATCTCCCAGGATACACTAAAAATTTTAAAACCTAATAAATCAAGGGGCAGAAGAGTCAGTTTAAAACACAATTCCTAGTGTGTTTTAAACACATATACATATACATGTACAAACATATATACATATTTATATTAATGGATAATAGATATATGCAGAAAAAATTTGGAAGCAAAATTCCCTTGCCTTTGAGCAGGAGAAGGGGCCTGGGGAGAGGGGGGCTTTCTCTTTCTATACTACTTGCATTCTCTAACCTATTGCTTTAATTTTACTTTTTTGTGTTTTTGTTTTAGTAGGGTTTTAGTAGCCCCAACATGGGGCTTGAACTCACAACCCTGAGATCAAGACATGAGCTGAGATCAAGAGCCAGACGCTTAACCGACTGAGCCACCCAGGTGTCCCCTAATTTTACTTTTTTTTTTTTTTTTCCCTAATTTTACTTTTTAATGTCAGTAGGGGATTGCCTAGGTCATGGAATTAGGGACCATCTTTATTACTTCTTTTGTTTTAATACCCTAAGAAACAAACAAATTTAAAGTTTACCAGGTGATTTTGATGTGTAGTCAGATTCGGGAAGCCCTGAGACCCTGGGCACCTCCAGGTCATGTGAACCTTACACCTGACAACCCTCAGAAGGTGGACTGCAAGTACAGCAAAGGTCACTGGTGACAGGAGAGGACCCCAGCGTACCCTGACATGGGTTACAGGGTCCAGGCAGCCTTCAGGCTTTAAGGCTCCCAAAACAGAAGGTCATTTCTGAAACTTTCCCCAACCAGCAGAGTGAGGGGCAGACAGGTAAATCACCTCCCCAGGCAGACACTAAGAAGTGTCCCTTCAGGACACAGGACATGAGAGTTATAGGAAGGGGGGAAGAGACATATACATCAGCAGAAAAAAGAAAAGAAAAAAGTAAACTGTGATACACCACTTATAGACAACCAAGAGGACATAGAACAGAACACAGATCAATGATCGTATCCTCAGCCCTTAGGGTCAAGAATCCAGGACCCTTGTTGTAAAATGACCATCCTGATGCCTTCAGGCTGCTCTCTAGAACCAGATATTTCGCTAAAGAACCAGTGGGGCGAAGAAGACCCTATGAATGTGCAGCTTTCCAGACTGGGGACATTTAATTTGGGTAGTGTCACAGAAGAGGATACCAGAGGTAAAAGCATCAAGACTGATGCATCAGAAGCACATCATAAATATGCTAAGACTAGGAAAAAGAAGAGCACTGGGAAAGAATGTCGATAATGGTATAGTATGTGCTTTGTGGGTTTTTTGTTTTTTTTTTAATTTCTCACAGGAAAGGAAAGAGTAAGTCCCTTTTTGAACATAATTAAAAGCAGCAACATTAAATTATCTTCTGATCCAAAATGTCAGCCCTTTTAGACTCATTCTAGAAGGATGATTATGGCAGGTTTCTAAGTTTAAAATGATCAGAAACACCTAATGAAGGAAACAGTCATCCATCTGAATATTTCATTTTCTTTTAAAGGAGTATGATGCCACTAGATCACACTAGTAACATGTGTGATCACTGCTGGTGAGATTTTAAAAATCTTATTGATTACCTAGAATAGACTGGGCTAAGTTGGTAACAGTGCATTAAAAGAGTTTGGTTAAAAGATATTTTTAAGGGCAAATACTGAAATGCTTAACATTCAAAGTGCTGTTGCTGAATTATGAGTTGGTATTTAAAGAAGGAAAGATCCAAACAGATGACTTTGCTTACTGCATCAGATGCAGACGGTACATGCGACCCACGCAGACTGGAGGTCTCAGTGGAGCAGCTGAGGACAGGAGGGCTTCTGAGTCTCTCACAACAGAGTAGACATGTATAAGGCCCCACTGGCAGGAGAGAAAGTCATAGCTAAAATGGACCAAATGTCCATGCGTCCCTCCAAAGCAGAAGTTTAAAGAGCAGGGAAATTAATTCAAGAATCACAGGAATGTTCTCACCCCATGCTGAAAAATCATCTAATATATGGTTACAAAAGACAGACATGAAAGTGGATGAGTCCAAGAGCTGCCATCTTGGATTAAGATAATGGCATTCTGAGAGGGTACAACAGTCAAACTGCTTCCATAGACATGACTGTACTTACAGTTTTTAATAGAAACTTAGTAGACCAATGGTAAAGATGACATTAGAATCTATTCATAAGAGGTGGAAATCTTTTGTCATTGTCTTAATGAGTAACAAGGATGTACTTCCCAAGAGCTCACATGTCCCATGCTCTCAATATAACTGAAAAGAATTCTGCTGCACTGTTTGCCACCTCTTTACACAAAATGTGATGGTTTGTCAGTTTTAATTCACTCACTGTTGCAGCCGCTGCTGCCTCTAGTCCCTGCTGGCTCGGGGTTGGGCTGACTGGGGCCTCCACAGGCTGCCCTTCCTGATAGTGAACGGAAGAGAAGAGGAAGGGAGAAAGAAACAAAAGAGGGAAGGAGTGAGGGGGGAGACGGATGGAGGGTACATGGAAGGATGAAGATGGTCAGAAAAGGGAGAAGGAGGGTCTTGTAACTCAGCTGCTCTCAAAAAGGAATCATAATCTAACAGCCGTATGAGAGTCATGCAGTAAGATCTTTTGGGCTTTACTCGCCAGGGTAGTAAGTAAGCATTATTGCACAGCCAGAAATGAAAATTTGGCAACTTAAGTGTGTGTGTGTAGAATTCATAAGCACACATACATTAAGTAAACACAAGTGTATGTGCTGCTTTTTCAAAAGAAAAAAAAAATCAATTGTTCTTTAAACCAAATCTTTTTTCCGGATGTCTTGACTGGTGAAAGTATCATGGTCTCATTTTAAAAGAAAATGTCTCAGCGTCAGCCTTGTGGTTGCCCAGGCAAACCACATGAGTGGGTTCACCCACCTGCAGCTCTTACAGCCCTGATTTGGCTGATGCTGCATCTAGGCAGGCCCAGACCTGGACTGTGCTAAGCACAGCATGAGCAAAGCATGACCAGGAAAGGTAGAAACTTATGACTTGTTTCCTCTACCTGAGCTACTCAAAGCTGAATCCAGATGTTCAAACAGCAAGCACATGGGTTTTTTTGTTTTTTGTTTTTTAAATTTCAGCAGGTCCAGTGCTCATGCTGGGATATGACACAAGTGCATTTTAAGAGCATATAGACTTATACACGATTCATTATATCTGGTGAGGAATTGCCTTGATCTCAAGGAAAAAAAAAATCTAGTAACTTTCAGCAATAAAAGTACACCCACCAAATGCTTCCTCCTCAAATATTGATGGCGAAGGACCAGTGGTTTAAATAGTAGCATCCAAGGTACACACAGTAGCGCAACCACTACCAGGAAACACTGAATTCCTTTCTACAAAGTAAGGACAAGGCACATCACATTAATCAAACACACAGTTTCCAACTCCAGCACAAATTTCCCCCAAACAGTACTTTCTTACTGATCTAGGAATAACACTATCTAGCTTCTCAAAATAATTAGAAGATGTTGTGGCAAAGCCCAGGAATTGTCTCACAGGATGGGAGTTATAAATTCTACCCTTTGTGGACACAGGAATTACATTAGATCCTCTGAAGCTAAGGAGGATGGGCTGAATTTAGGTCTGATGTATGGGCTGAAAACTAATACCACAGAAAGAGATTTTTAAAGGCTTTTCCAGAGTCACAGAAATATCCGGCTTCCTGATCTAGGGTAACCACCTAAGACAGTCCACCTCCGGGTTGACACACCTGTCCGGAATACAGCATCGAATTACTAGAGTCCCCGTAGGAAAAGAGAAACATGTTTATGAAATGGATCAGGAGGCTTGGCGCTTTCTCAGATGTATTAGCATTATAGGCTGTCCACTTGTAAAATATAAGGATAACCAAGTAGCCAAACAAAGAGGTCATGAAGATTATTTCAGGAATAAATCCAAAGTAGATATTCAGGGGCTTCTTGAAATAGCTAAAAAGGAAGAGAGAAAAAAAAAATGTTAAAGGTGAATAGACCCAGGGGTGCCTGGCTGGCTCAGTCAGTGGAGCCTGGAACCCTTGCTGTCAGGGTTGTGTATTCAGGTCCCACGATGGGCACAGACCTTACTTAAAAAAAAAAAAAAAAATGGTGAGCAGACACCCAGGGTCACCCTTACATGAAATGGAGTACTTACTAGATTTCCTACCTACAGCTCCCTCAATTCTGTCTTTATCACTTTAAGAAGTAACAGCCAGAAGCACTGGAGGCCAAAAGAGACAAGCAGGATTAACCATGACTTCCAAACTTTTGGACCTTGAACATCTTGGTACCACCCCCACCAATCTTTTCCCATGAGAAAGAGATTGGAAAATATAGTACATTCTGGAATCACAGTTCATAATTTTATATGAGTTACACATAAAAGAAAAAAAGTAACTCACTCATTTTGATGAAAATGACAAAAGGTTTTTCAAAGATCTTTACTGCAGTTGTGAATTGTTAAGGGACTAATATTAATTAAGCCTCATTTAAGAATATGAGATTTTTATAAAAGCACTTCTTTAACATAGAACCGGGTTCTGAGTTACTTATTCCTCCTCAAAGATGTCATGATTTCTTTAGGCAAAAGCATTACCTAAGCTATGCATGTTCTTGTGACATAAACAGAGCAACTCACGTATGGTTGAAGAGGCTCAAAGTGACTCCAAACATCATGTGGATGATGCCTAGGATAACAGATGTCTTCATTTTAAAGGAGTTGAGAAAGGTCAGTTTATTGGTAGCAATGTTCCAGATCTGTCACAACCCAAGGAAACAAAAAGGCATTACAGAGTTCGTGAATAGGATATTATTATTCACCTATTTTTTTTTTTTTAAAGTAAGCTCTACATCCAACATGGGGCTAAAATCACAACCCTGAGATCAAGAGTTGCATGCTCCACCAGCTGAGCGAGCCAGGCTCTCCTATTCACCTATTTTTTAAAGCTTTTTTTTTAATTATGGAAAGTTCTAAACACAGACTTAAGTAGAGAGGACAGTATAACAAACTCACATTTACCTATGACCCAGGTGAACAATTACCTATTGACTCAAGGTCAATCTTATTTTATCATACAGACAACCTACTCCCCACCTCCGTAGTATTTGGAAGCAAAGTACAGATACCATATCATTTTAGCTGTAAATATTTCAGACTTTTTTTTTTTTGAGAGAGAGTGAGCCTGCACGCTGGGGAGGAGGAGGAGAGGGTGGGGAGAAGGGCAGGGGGAGAGACAGAATCTTTTTTTTTTTTAAGATTTTATTTATTTTTGCGAGAGAGAGAGTGAGCCTGCACGCTGGGGAGGAGGAGGAGAGGGTGGGGAGAAGGGCAGGGGGAGAGACAGAATCTTTTTTTTTTTTAAGATTTTATTTATTTTTGCGAGAGAGAGAGTGAGCCTGCACGCTGGGGAGGAGGAGGAGAGGGTGGGGAGAAGGGCAGGGGGAGAGACAGAATCTTTTTTTTTTTTAAGATTTTATTTATTTATTTGAGAGAGACAGCGTGAGAGAGAGCATGAGCAGGGGGGAGGGCAGAGGCAGAGGGAGAAGCAGACTCTCCGCTGAGCAGGGAGCCCGATGCAGGACTTGATTCCAGGACCCAGGGATCAGACCTGAGCTGAAGGCAGATGCTTAACCGACTGAGCCACCCAGGCACCCGAGAGAGAATCTTAAGCAGGCTCCATGCCCAGCATGGACATGGGGCTCAATCTCATGACCCTGAGGTCATGACCTAAGCTGAAATCAAGAGCAGGATGCTTAACTGCCTGAGCCACCCAGGTGCCACAGCCTGCCCCCCGCCCCCCACTTTTGGGTAAGGACTAATTTTTTTTAAAACATGACTACAATACTGTTATCACTCCCAAAAGCATTAACAACGATTCTTTAATATCATGAAACATATAGTCAGTATTTAAACTTCCCTGATTGCGCCCCCCATTTTTTATTATTTATTTATTTTTAAAGATTTTATTTATTTATTT